GATGACAAAGATCCACACGACATTTGAAGATGGACTTCGTATCTGTTTATTGTTTTTAAAAAAACAAAAAGGCTCATGAATTTTTACAAGAGCAGCCTTGGTCTCAGACAAGACTTTTAACCAATCAGTCGCATGATCCTCACAGCTTCTAACATGAGTTAACTCCTTATCTCTGGCAAGCTGCTGGCATCGGCTCACAGTCGGAACCGTTGTACCGGGTAACCGCAAGTAGCCGCTCAGGTACATTCCTTTACGACGAATTCAATGTCAACATACTTTTCAGCAATCAGGTCTCTTTTACTGGGAGTTCATTCATTAGAGAAGAAGTATCAAAACAGGTTCACTTGTTTTGGTTTAATGACCAATTTCGTGACGTATACTTCACTTTTTTATTTCGTACCAAAAGAGGGCCCCAGCATAGTGGGTTCACCCCCTCGGAGATAAAGAGCTAAGTGGGCGAGCACCGGAGTAACTTATCACAGCCCCAGTACCTGGTAGATCTTGGCGTCTCTCATCAGCTTCTCCACTGGGTAGTCCGAGTTGAAGCCGTTACCACCAAAAATCTGGACAATAAATAATGGATATAACTGAATAACACAAATCAAACAGGACTTAGTTATGATTTTCAAATGCTTTTTTGAGAAAAAAATGTGGACAACAAGTAAATGGATATCTATATACAGTAGTCTCCGCCTAAGATCCCACCGCTTACGATCCCGGTTCGCTTAAAATCCCACTGATTTAAGAAAACAGAATTTTTACTTTACAAAAGTCACCCCTAAGATCCCGCTCTGATTCACTTTGAAGGTCTACATTCGGCTAAGATCCCGCATTTCAGATCATAATTTGCGGATAAAAAACCCGGGCGGGACAGCCGATCAACCAAGAGTGAAAATTTGAGATCAATAAACTGTCCGTCGCATCAAAGATAAGCTACTATCGTGAATGTGATCATATACACGTAAAACTCGATGAAGCGATACAATGTTTGCCCCAGACGGGATCACACCGGGGTGTGAACTGACCGACACGTTTGTTTTCCCCGAACATCTCACTCACACCTGAGCTATCCCCCTAAACTTACATCACTCGCTGAGTGGGTAGGGCCTACACGTTCGCTCCAGGCGGGATCACATTGAACCGTGAACTCTTCCCTGACCATTGGAGAAGTTGTTTCTACTCCCGAATTTGTGAGACAGACTGAATTTTAATTGGTGTGTTCACAACGTAATGGTGTGTAACGACAAAGGCGGTTGGGGGAGATGGAAAGCTATAAATTTTCGACAGGTAAGTGGGAGGGGAGGGGCAACTTGATAAGCGTAGATCTTGAGCCTCATGATAGGATAATAAGTGAAAATGGCACGCCTCATCCCACTATGCCCTGTGATAGGTCATCAAGGTTAACCACTCTTTGCTCGCCATACGTCATAAACCCACCAAGCGGTCATGTCAGTTCATTTTAGAGTGGAAGGAGACCATTTTACCGATTGTAAGCCTTAACATGGGTCACCATAGATTCTTCCCTGGGTTCGTTGGTGAAGATCCCGGTTCGCCTAAGATCCCACTTTTCCTTGCTCCCGAGCACCGGGATCTTAGGCGGAGACTACTGTATGTATAAAAGTTGACATGGGAGGCTTTGTGCACAAACTCCTCCCTTATTACCTAACCCACACCTTTGAAACTTTGCAGGCGCCCACAGCACCCATGTGGCTAGGACCTAACTTTTTAAAATTCTCGCAAACTGCTTTCCCAGTTTTTTCTAAAATGCTCTGTTTCGTCCACACAGAGTTCTAATCTTGAGAAATTACATCTTCTAAGACGCCATTGTAAAAAAGTGAGGTTTCCATTCACTGGCCGTGCGCATTTAAGCCACGCCTTTGAAATTCTGGAGTGTACAACCACAAAAGCGGAATAGAGAATCAATCTATACATCTATTATATATTTGGCAACTTGGAAACACGTGAGTCACTTTTCTCTCAAGATTTATTGCTCCATTCCAATGGAGTGTAAAAATAGTAGGCCAATGACTTTCAGTTGATGTTAATGCACCGATCATTCCTTTCATTGAAAGGGGGTCCATCTAGTAACTGAATGATTTAAATCAAAGAGACAGAGAAATGCCGATGGAAGAGTCATTCACAAGTTTAAAAAATTATCTCCCAGGTAACCATTATGTTCACAACGTGAAAAGACAAAGCCTAGGATGGAATCGCAAGGGGAGGAAAAAGGGGAGTAAGGCTGTGATCCACCTGGGAACGAGATCTGGAGGCAGATGTTGTTGTTGTTGTTGTTGTTATCGATCCAGCAACATCTGGGCTCTCGCCCTTCTGTCCAATGCCATGTAGTGATAAGTGCAGGTTTGCTGCAGTTGCTGTAATGTTCCGTAGAGTGTGTTGTCGAAGTTAGGTCTCGGAGGGAGAAGTGTAGCTCTGATGTCATTTAGGACTGTACAGTGGAAAAGGTGATGTTCCACTGTCTCATATGCATAGTCACACTGATCATTTTCTATTGCTTGCAAGACTGATAGTGAGTCAGTGAAGATCACTATACTCTGTGTTTTGTTTGGATGAGTGTCAAAAACTGTGCGGAGATGGTATAGTGCTGTTTCTGGAGGCAGATCTCAGATACCCTACTGTAACTACACGGTCACAGGGCAGTTACGTCTTTCCAGTCTCACGAAAACTCCTTGTACATCTTCAACATGGATGGCCTCTTCTCAGGGTGGGCAGGCAGTCCACAGACACCCCAGTCCATAACAATCTCAGACAGGTAGCGGGACGTGGAGAAGGTTAAACAAGAGACAGGCGGACAGTTCTTCATGGCGGCCTATACATCATACCGGGGTGAAAGAAGCAACAAAGCCATCACGTGGATATTCTTCCTGGGCACTCTGGAGTGAAGGGCAATGAGGAAGCTGATAGGATTGCAGGTAGTGCCGTGGTCGATGGTGAGGTGAAATTTGACACAGGAGAAGTGTTGAAGACCCTGAAGGACAAGTTGCGGGATGAGGAAGACAGGGAGACAGCAGAACACCACGCAATCATCAGGATGTGGGAAATGGGGATAGAGAAGGGAGAAGGAAGAAAGGAACTATTATCTGGACAGGAAAGACATCGTCATAATCAAACAGCCACTAGAACAATTAATATGGATACCTAGCAGGCTTTGGTGCTGAGAGGAACTGAGCACTTATGGACCTGTCCGGTGTGCAGTGACGTAGTCCAGGACAAGTAAGACAAGTAAGTAAAAGGCAGAGAAAGCGTCTTGGAAGCCTATAGGCAATACCAGGGTGAAAGAAACAGAGAAAGTCTTGGTAGCCTATACTACACGCAATACCGGGGTGAAAGAAACAGAGAAAGAGTCTTGGCAGTCCTTACGCAATAGCAGGGTGAAAGAAGCAGAGAAAGTCTTGGCAGCCTTTATGCAATCATCATCATCCGGTGCCTTGCCGACTGGTGTGGGCAATCATGGACCTCCGCTTCACTCTGTCTTGCGTTGCAGCAATGCTGTCTGAGGTTCTTGCTGCTCCCAGCCATGTTGTCAACTTGTCCAGTATCTTTTCCCTCTGTCTGCCTCTGCCTCTCTTTCCATCTTTACGCAATACCAGGGTGAAAGAGGCAGAGAAAAAGAACGGCTGTTCTACACCCTTCGAAATAACTTGCTGGAAAAAATGAAAACATACTCAGAGACAACAAAGGCACAAATACCTGCACAGCGTCCGTGGCGCACTTGTTGGCAATGTCTGCGGCGAAGGCCTTGGCGATGGACGCGTAGTAGGTGTTGCGACGACCTTGGTCCACCTCCCAGGCCGACCGTTGCATGATGAGGCGCGCCGTCTCCACCCCGATGGCCATGTCAGCCAGCATGAAGGCCACAGCTTGGTGCTGGGGACGGGAGGGGACGGAGGCTTTATTAGTGAGGCAGCGTGGTGAAATTAGACGCTCGTCAAAATAATGAAATCAAAGAAATCAGTGGGGTTTTTTACAGAGGGCAATTTTTTTCTAATTTTCTTTTTTTCCCTCAACACCTTTTATTTCCATTTAAAAACACATTTTTGCAAGGATTTTACTGAAAAACATTGAGTACAGGCACAGAAAATGTACATTTTCAGTTTCCAATGACTCTTAGGCAATGGAAGTTACCAAACTTTGGCGGCCGTTTTTTCGCTAATTTCGCCTCTGAAACCAGGCACCCCTGACCTCCTTCAATTGAAAATAATTTAGACTTCTATTCAGATGGACATTTTTTTCACCAAAAGGAAGGCAAATGAACAAGCTGTGAGATGACACCAATAACAGCATATTTTTAAAAATTGACGAGCGCCTGATTCCACCACATCGTGACACATTTATTTTGTCACAAAAGGCAGATGATTTTCATATTCTATTCCATGAAAACTTTTGAACGATGAATGAAAGTTACACATCTTGGCCTCTAATTTGAATCCAATTTGTCAATGTCGGCTTATGTAGAGTGGGAATTTGCGATGTACAATTACTATTTATTACTATCATTGTTACTATTATTATTGCTATTTTTATTATTAATGTTGTTGTTGTTGTCATTATTACCATTATCATTATTATTATTACTATTACTATTATACTATCATTATTATTATCATTATTATTATCATCATCATCATTTATTATTATTATTATTATTATTATTATTATTATTATTGTCATTATTATTACCATTAATATTATTATTGTTATTATTTATATTATTATTACTACCACCATTATCATTATTTATTAAATTATTATCATTTCCACAGGTACAACAGGAGCCCCCACCTCACAGATGGGTTTGCCCATGGTCTTCCTCTCCAGGGAGTACTTTGTGGCCTCATCCAGCGCCCGCTTGGCCAAACCTACAGCGCCTGCCGCAACCTGGGGACACACACACACAGGAAAGTGTGGGTTTTAGTAAATGTTTTATGGCACTTGCAACACAATAAGGTCATACAAGTGCCGAAGATTAGAGGTGTTACAAGAGAGTAACAAACACAAAAAAGAAGGAAGGGAGATAAAGACGATAGATGTTTGACAGGAAAGAAGCAAACCACACCAGAGCACCCGGAATACTCTTCTCAATCCGCAGAGGGAGATATCAGCCAAAAAGGAACACTTTGTACATTTTCAACTTTACTGATGGTACTTTCTTCCAGTTAAAAATGTCCTTTATCATTTTATACTAACAAATTGGAAAAACTCAACCTAAAATTTGAGACAACTATTTTCATTGGACTTAACTCCAAGAATTAGCTCATTTTCTCAGCACGCCTGACAGACAGAAGCACATCCACACAACAATGGCCAAACAGGGCAAAAGAAAAGGCAAGACAGGCAAACAGAAGAAAAAAAACAGGAGGAAAAGACCGAAGTAGGAACCTTCCACTGACACCATCCAACTGTCCACCAAGAGAGAAAAGTAACACAAATAAATCTAAAATGTCCCCTGTTTACATTTGCAAACTCATATTCTGCTTGCACAACAATTCTACAAGAGAAAATGATGGACTGGAAACCAGGAACAAAATTCTGTCAAATATCATCACTGCATTCCACTAAAATGATTTTAAAAGTTAGATTCAGATAAAAATCAAATGAATGTAACTTCCAAAAAAATATTTACCAGTGCAGAAAAAAAATAAAACATGTTACACATAGTTTTTTACCTTTCACCTATTGCTTCTATTTCATTTTTCTCCTGCTCAAGGTGATAAACAACATGATGACTTTCAAAAAAGTCCACAGCATGATCACCAACACTGAAAAGATTCTGGCATTGTCCCTTTTTCCAGTGTCAAGCTATTTACCAAGACAAAAACAACACAACCAATCAGCGGTACCGCCAACCACAAAAGTTAAACTTACTCATTTTAATGGAGGTGTTTTCACCCCCCCCCCCCCCCCCCCCCCAATCAACCAAGTCAAATTAATTAAAGATAGTAATTTGGGAAAGGAGCGGGGGGGTTTTTTTATAACAGAAGAAGAGCCAAAACAGCGGGGAATTTTGTTTTTTGAAA